GCGGGTTGCCGTAGTGGGACAAGCGCAGCAGCTCGGCTTGGTTGCTGATAATAGGTCGCGAAGACGCCAAGGTGGTGCGCCGGCAGCACTCGCCAGTCGAAGTTTGGACGACGTCGGTAGCCGGCAAGTCGGATCTCTACGAGCGCTCAGCAATAAGATCGTTCGTTGGTGCAACGGGACGATGCCACGTAGGTTCGAATTCTCGCCGATATTCTATTTTTGGCGCTCAACGAAGCGGAGCTCATTTAAAGATTGGCGAGCTCCGTACGCACCCATCTCCAATGAGCACACCCAGTGGCAACAACCACCGTCGAGAAACCGACGGTGCATCGGCGTCAACGGTGGTGGCCAATGTCTCCAAGTTGGCCAAAAAGAAGCGCCGTCGACCGAAACGGACGAGCGTCTCGAGGCCTTCCACTCGCTCCACGCCAACATGCAGGCCAACCTGGCGACGGTGCGCCCTAACCTCCAGTGCTCGTGACAGGTGCGTCTAGAATTATGAAGGCTCAAAGCATCATGTATTGGCTCGCGTTGAATATCTAGCTGATTTATGTCCCAATGCTAGTATCGCAATACCGATCGGGTCTAGTGACTTCCAAGGTCTCTGGAACATTCTCAGACGTCTGATAATCAGTGATCACTGACATGACCAATCACACCCGAGGCGCCGTTGTGACACCCGTTCTTGACCAAGCTGCATCTCCACCACTTGATGCTGAATACCCAAGCGATGTGCCTCCTTTAAATGATGCACGCCCTGTGCCACGACGCTTGGCTTCTAATCTCTTCGTCCCGGCTTGCGCCCTCCATACGCCTCGCCTTCAACACGGCTAAGCCTCGCTGCTGCTGCCGTCTAGCACAACACGCTCTGAATCGAAAGTCCACCCCCAAAAACAGTTCAGTGTAAATTATATCTAAATAGACTCACTTCAACAACAACCAACGACATGACCAATCACAACGTACAAAAGCGCAACGTGTTGCGTCGAGCGTCCAGTCGGTGTAGCTTTTCAACGCTTCTCGTTTCGCCAAATGCTGCGACTCGGTACGGACCAATCTCCATGTCGCGACGCTTGTCAACGCAAGCCCTGTTCAACGACCAGGCAATGCACAACGGTACTCAGATTATACAACCAACGTCCAGTCCATTCTCCCTCCACGTCCTGATGGAGGGAGAATGGACTGGACGTTGGTTGTGTTCATTGGGTTGCGTTGGTGATTTTCGTGCACGGCAACCTTGGCCCACATTCAACACAACTCAATTTACTTCCCATGGTCAAGATCATCGCCTCCGCCAGCGCTTTGGCCGCTGTCGCCATTGCCGGCACCGTCAACGAGATCCCCGCCGACATGCGCGCGCTCATGGACACGAACGCGAACCCGTGCGACGACTTTTACCAGTACGCGTGCGGTGGGTGGTACAAGCAAGCCGTAATTCCGGCGGACCAAGACAAGACCGACACATCATTCAGCGTCCTTGGCGACAAGAACGACGCGGTCATTCGCCAGATCCTCGGCGCGGGCTACCCCAAGGTGTCGGAGTACTACAAGTCGTGCCTCGACACGCGGACGCTGACGACCAAGGGCCTCGCGCCCATCTCGGATGACCTCCAGAGCATCAAGACGGCCACTTCGGTGGCTGGCTTGCTCCAAGTTGCGGCCAACCTGAGCAAGAAGGGTGTCTATGCCTTCACCCAGCCTGAGGTACGACATTGTCTATTCCCATCGCATCAAACCTTATGCTGTTGTCATGTAGGTGGCCCCGGATTCGCAAGATGCGACGGCCAACGTGCTCTACTCGGCCCAAGCGCCGTCGACGCTGACGCGTCAGCTGTACGTCAACCCGCAGGAATGGCGCGTGGTCCAGCCCGCGTACAA